TTCAGCGTATCCTGGTTAAATAATCGCGCACTTTCTAAGCCCATTGTATGTATCCTGTAAACTGACGAAACCGTTTAACATTTTTTGTCATATCAGCTAAACAGATTATGCACTTTGTGAACCATAGTGTTATTATTGATTTAACAAGAAAAGAAACAAACATGTCCACTTGTGGTGAAATGAGAGTTGTTGTCTGTTGTCACTCTTGTCACGGAGTGACTGAGCATCGGCTCAACTTGTATGCATCACACTTGAGAGTGTGTTGAATAAACTAGTAGAGATTAAAAGAAAAAGTACAAAGAACATTGTATAAACACGGATATATATCTCAAACGAAACAACAACAAAAAAATACTAAGTTTCAACAAAACGATAAACTGCACAAAACTCTTCTCTAGAAAGTCTTTCTCTCAGTAATAGAGGGGAAAGCCTTGGGGCTAGATCAAATTCTCTGATAAAGATTTTATTCAGTGAAGGTTGTGAAAGGGTGATATAACACATACTGCCGTAGAGAGTGTTGAACAATCGCTTCTTTTTATGTGATATAAAAACTTGAATGGGTTAGATAATGACTAAAACACAATAATCACAACAGGCCGTGCATACAGTTTCAAGAATAAAATGTTGTGCATCAGCGGGAGTCCGAGTCCGAGCCCACGTCATGATGCGAGCACTCCGAGTCTAAATCGGAGTCCTTGAAATGCAGTCGCAAGTCCGACACCTGACTCCATTTCGAGTTCGATAGTTTTGAAAACTATCGAACTTGTTTCAATTTACTAGTTTTATTCAGTAAGAAGTATTTCAACTTCGTTTATATAATATCCTTACATGTTAGGCATAAGTCGTATGATCAATTTCTAGTGTACTATTCAATTCGGACTGTTATTATTAATAACAGCAAATAATGACACATCTGCGTCGATATATATCCGAAAGTGACACTGAGAAAATGAAAGTTTTCTATTCATTTCCATTAAAAGTTAATGGATCAAATAAAATACAAAAACTCAAGTCACAGTCCCGGTTTTTCGAAAAATCCTCAGTCAAAGTTCGAGTCCGCAACATTTGCTATTAACACGTATTTCTTATTTTGAATTGGAGTGGATTGATTAGTAGGGAGATCAAGATGAGCTGAATAATTCAAACAAAGCGTAGTTGGAAAGTATAACTTTTTTATGTTAAATGACTATTCAGCTTGCTGTTTTTCGCCTTGTTTGATTTGATATTTTTAATATCTGAAACTGCATATTTTAGTTGCTAAATATTGGCATTTATTGACTGAATATAACATTTTGTGTTAAAAACGTTTTCATCTTAATAAATCTTTGAGAAATAGTAGAATTTTTATACATATTTTCATTTTTATGTGATATTTATAAAGATGAACCTGTCGATTCGGCTAGAGGGATAACTCCGCTCTTCTTGTCTTTATGAATACGGATGAGCCTATCCAAGATTCGGACAGTCTTTTTGAATTGATGTTTTTTGTTTGTTCAGTGACACCAGAATTCTTTTTTTCCTCCAAATTAGATATATTTCTTTTCTTTTAGGATCTTTACAACTTTTTTTCATCTTTCACGTAATAAATTCGATATCAGATGTGCTTTCCAGCTGGAATCAACCTCCTTCGATAAAAAAATAAAGATTAGTTTTTGAATCCACGGGGACTATCTACATTGGTTAATTACTTTTAGTTCTCTGTAGAAAATTCAGTCGTTCTGAGTTCATAGCATAACATGTGAGTTCCACATCCCAAGTGTTGTGAAATTACCTAGGTAAAAATATATTCACTAACTAGTATATCGACTAATTGCAGATCTTGACATTGCTCAATTGCTCAATTGTTGGCTGTAAGGCTTTGTATATTGTTGAATTTTTGTTTGTTAAATTATCGGCAATGAGCTTAATATGCTCGTCTAAAGCTTGTTCATTATCATTCCAAATGTATGGCTTGTCTTTTCGAATTTGGACTTTGATCAGTTCACGTATGGCTTCGTAGGTGTGACTCGTCAAAGGTGAAAGTAGCTCTCTTGCATCATAAGTATCTTTCAGAATGAGATGTGTTCTCAGATCAACAGCTTGTACACAAATCATCAACGCGATTGCAACATGTTGTTTCATTATCATTGTTGAACGTCTCGCTAAAGTGGCTGACATTTGACCCAGTGTATTTATGTTCTGGTTGTACTGCTCAGCATATGTTGCATACCTATCAGCAATGGAATTACCCATAAACAGAAGATAAGGCATGATTGCGTTCCCGCACAGCTGAAGACCTTTAACACCCATGTTCACTGTTCGTTCAGGATTCGCAATTAAACATGCTGGTAATCCGTTACTAAATTCTGCTGTGACTAGCTGAGCCATCTGGACATCCGTATGTTTTGAGATTAGTCCAACAATGTATCGAAGGCGATCCATTGATGTGCTCACATGTTCACCAAAGAAATTGCCGGCTGCTGCAAAGAAACAGAAATTCTTATTTTTTCTTTACACTCATAAAGAGAACATAGCAAACCACTTACAATAAGCCTTTTCATTTTCGGTATCAATCAAGGGGTTATCGTTTGCCGAATTCATTTCAATTTCGATTGTTTGTGTTATTTGGTCAAGCGCTTCAATGAACGGTCCCAGATATTGTGGGATGCATCTCAGTGAATAGCGGTTTTGGATTAAAACATTGGGTATCATAATATGTTTACCATCCAAACAGCAATTAATCATTTTACTTTCATTTAATAAATCACACATTGTACGAGCAACATATTTCTGGAAAGAAAGTAGTACAGAGTGAAGACATTCAAGGATTTTATGAAAATGTCTTCATACCTGTCCTTTGTGTGGCTTCTTTTCATGAATAAACGGGTGAAATGGCATTGTGTTACCTAGCATAGCCTGAATAGCCAAAGCATGAATATGGAGTGTAGCAGCAATAAGAATTTTTAAATCATATGTGGCTAGTGCGGCTGATGCTGTCATCATGCTCGTTCCGTTTAACATTGCTAAGCCTTCTTTTGGCAACAAACTGATCGGTTCTAAATCAAGTTCTTTCAAAGCTTCAATAGCCGTCATCGTTTTGCCACGAACATCAACCGAAAATGTTTCATTAACACCACATAGAGATCCAGCAATGTACGTAAGCGGGATAAGATCACCGCTGGCCCCAATTGAACCGAATTCTGGAACAAACGGTGTAACTTGTTGATTAACGAACAGTAACAAACGTTCAACAATGTCTATTCTGATTCCGCTCACACCAACCAAATGGGAATTAGCTCTCAGTACCATGGCTGCTCGAACATCTTCCAATGGCAAATAACACCCTGCACCAGTTTTGTGAAAAAATAGCATATTATTCTGTAAATCGCAGGCGTCTTGATATTGATTCGTTATTGATTTATAGGCCATACCACCAAACAAGGTTGTAACGCCATACAATGGTTGTGCTTCTCGTACGACTTTATCAATGAACTCACACGACTCTTTCATCTTCTTAACTATTTGTGGATCATGTGTTAGCTCAACTTTCGTTGGCGAATCAAACGAGCAACGAGCAATGTCAACCAGTTGCGGAATTGTTAACTCGCTACCATTTAGAATGATGGATGATGTTGATGCTGCTTTGTCGTTCAACTGGAGCTGATTCTTCTCCACGTAGCTTTCGAGCAAAGTATCCGACATGACTATTAGTGATCACCAGAAATGAGAATGCCTAAAAGGAGATGATTGTCTACGTTTTAATCTTAGTTTCTATGTGTTCTGATGTGGTTGCTTTAGGTAATGAAGATTTTCAAAATTATGTTACGTAAAACTTGGCTGGATCACACTTAAGCTAGTTAACATGCTAAGCGTTTGTATTAACTCCAGACTTGAAAACCTAACGATTTGGTCTCGTCGAAATGTCAAAACTGAAAGACGCCAACGGTTTTAAAAGTATCAATTAAAGCTCAATAGAAAAGACTTGATACAAAAGACGATGAAGCTCTTTTACACTGGAAGTTGAAAAAAGCTCTTACCACAATCACTTTGTCTATAGTTTCCTATCTAGTTAACCCCTTCAAAATATCCAGTCAGCGAGATTTTATCAGGGGTACCTAAGATCTGTATTGCATCACTCATATCACACATATTGCGCACACATATCATAGTAAAGAGATGCACCAGAGTCTCCCGTTAACTCCGTTCTTCAAATGAATCTATGGCAATGAAAAATTTTAAAACATCACAATAATGTTCACACATTTTTTCTTCCGTTAGACTAGAATTAACTATAATGGAAAAGTTTATCAATAGATAAAGCTAATAGGATCAAAAGGGATTCCTAAACCAAAACATTTGCGTCCAAAACGATCAAATTTCGAATGAACCGAGATGATCCCAGCTCGATGCCACCTGAGTTATTCTTCTGTATTAGAGAAGCAGCTAACACTATATAGTTGCTTTCGGCTTCAAAGTCGTTTGCGCGTTACTGAAGAATGAATGAATATTGTGAATAATTTAATTCTAATTTCTCCCTAGAAGAAGAGAATAATGCAGACGTGTGCTCGCATAATCATAGTTCTGTTCAACCTTTAGAATGGTTTGCTTCACTAACAGATTAAGCTTACTAAAGTTTTCTAATAATGACAAGTAATATTCATCTTCGATTCACCCTTCTCTTGACCGGAAGTCCCGCTGTACTCAAAATGTTCTGTGTTTAGATTTCAATGTACAGTTATATTTAAGGTCACATAGCCAAATTGGCAAGTACTCACGCATTTTTTAATTTGTACATTTATCTGAGTAATGAACGGTTAGATAATTGTACTTGGAATATAATTAGAGCCTTGCCAGTCTGACATTTTTTGTATCACACCCAAATTCGAAGCCGAAAAAGAGTTGTCGGGGTTGTTGTTTCGAACCTGCGACTGCATGTTCGATCGGGATCAGGTTAGACCCGCACAACTTTAGCATGAGCGATTAATAGTCAAGAAGCAGAGATCCAATCAAAGCGACTGTAGTTTTAATGATGGTGAGAATCAACAAGCTTAAGAACAAGTAGGGTTTATTCGCAGAACCCTTCGCTTGAAAAGTGTTTATTTGAATCGTGTGAGGTTCTTTATGCCGGTGTCAGTACTAGACAAGAATATATATATATATATATATATATATATTTTCACTCTTGCAAGAACTTGGAATAATGAACTCAGAAGTTCGAATTTATGTCCGAAGCGAATAGCAGAATAGTGAAATTGTGGTGTGGACAATGTAGAGCGAGAGAGAGAGAATGATATCAACATAAATCGAAGATTGAATGTCAGCAGGACCAGAACTTATAAATATAAAAGATGAAAATATGTTGACATATATATTTATATAGTCTATTCTAGTATTCTACTATTGTACTATTCTGCTAGTGATATTTTAGTTGTACACTATAGTTATGCATTAATATAGAATTGTGTACATTACTAATTCAGTTAATGCATCATGCAGAATAAATAGTAGCTGAAGCGATTATTTCTTAAGGTTGGAAATTTGCCCAGTCCTCAAAAAGAAAAAGAAAAAAACAGAAAAATCATTTATCTTTTCGAAGACCCTTGCTTTTCAAGCGAAAGGAAAAGACTTTTTTCGACTTTTATGTTTGATGAACGTTTAACAGGCTCAAAAACAGATTTTCTTTTCCTATTTTGATCTTTAATAAAATAGCAGGAGTTATCTGAAACAGTTAATGCAACTTTTGAAGAAGATTCCCGATCCGATTCTGCTTGAATGAATTCAAAGCCAACTCGAACCGAAACAAAAGTTTTTGGGATTCCGAACCCCTATGAATTCAGATTCATAATCGAGATCGAATTAAGCTCGCAGGAGTCTATATCTGGGTAACAGTTTCTATGAAAGACAAAAGTTATTAGTCAATGAGAAAGGAATATTACAGAAACGCATACTTGAGTACACACTATCTTCCTAATACACATTCAATAATGTGCGAACATATTACAAAAGCCGTATCCTCTAATCTATATCGCATTTTTATGGTTGACCTCTTTGATTATAATAAGTAAAAAAAACGTTTTTACCTTTCACGACTTGCTCGTATTAATCTATTTGGATAGAATATTCATATATATTATAAAGGATATACCCCACTCGTTCTTTTCTTGAGCATTTTTCGTTGAAAAGAATTCACGTGTTGTAGTACACATTTGCACACATCAGCATACAGAAATTATTTTGTTCTCGATGTGTCCCCAAAAGAAACGCCTACAGCCGTTTTGCGAAAAAATGAAAAATGCGTGGTCAAGTTTTAAGTCATCCGTACTGAATAATGCTGTCATGGCAACAATTATCAAAGATCATAAATGATTTCAAGTGAAAAGGTATGAAAATATTTGTTTTTTAATTGGGCATTATTTTGAAGATGATAATCTTAATCAAATTAAAGATACAATATTATTGTTTAAAAATTTTAATGAAAGTCACACGGCACTTTAATGGATGATCACTTTATGCATTAAAAATAAAGAAAGAATTAGAAAACTTACGTATAGAGTGTAAAACATTTACAGACAACTGATGGAGCTGCTAATGTCAAAAATATGTGTAATATTGGAGACAACAAATAATATTAAATCCATGTATTGTATAGCTCATGATTTACATCTAACAATATGTAATACATTGCGGTTATGGCCAAAACAAGCCAAAAATAATAATTATTCTAATGCTGTTGTCGAAGCATTCTTATGAAATTATTTTTGTTCAAATGGATGTTTGCCATGAGCAAGAAGTACAAAGTGAATGAATTATAACTAGCCGTAACTTCTAAGAATTATCAAAAAAACTTTACTGAATCGTTTTAGAATAGTAAGTAACTTTACAATGTTCTAGTTGAATATTCTGAAGATAATACTGATTTAAAACAAACGATGAATAATAATCAAAATAAAAGTGGTTATGGATCTCCTGTAGAAAGAATGAATTCATCATTGATTGAATTCAATTCTGAATCCAATCATAATGAAGATAACAGCAATGACTACAACCATGAAGAAATAGAAATAACAATAGATGATGCCAGAGGAGTTATTACATCTATTACTCATGTTCTACTTAAATTTCGCAAACTTGTGAATCATTTTTCAACATCTACTAAACAAAACCGGATATTTGAAGAAAAGAATTAGTAAAACATTAAAATGTCATTCATTAATTACTGATTGTCTAATACTAGCTCGATTAGTTCGTTTTCCATGATTGATCGTCTAATTACACTAGAAGATCATCTCAATGCCATTTTAGATGATACAAAACCATTTGTCAAAATTTATTTGACAACACTCAAATGGTCGATATTTGGTAATTTACGTAAATTATTAAAACCATTCAAAATTGTGAGTATCCAGATATAAGCTAATCCTTTACAGTCAATGTGGTGCAGGTCTTTATCGTCTAAACCGATTGCTCAGTAAAAGGTATAATTTTTTAGATGTTTTAGGTAGTTCGAGAAGTTAGTGGATCTTATTATCCAATGTTGTCCAAAGCATATAATACTTTACGAGCACTTCGAGTTTTATTAAATACAAATGAATCAAATGATTCAGCTGATATGAAAGTAACGAAAAAGCTGTTGTAAGCGTATTAAAATCATTATTTTCCTACTAAACGAAACAAATGAAATGCATTGCTTAATGAGAGTGCGTATAGCACATTGTCCTCAATATATGGAAACATGTAGTCATAAAATTTTCGTTCAGGCTTCAGCATGTCTTGAACTGAGAGATGTGACTGATTTGCGAATATCTACATTTTAGCTGAATATCTAACTATCCAGAATATCTAAATATCTAGAATATCTGAATGTCATATCCAGGCTGCTTTCTGCCGGTTCACTCACAGGCACTATACTTAGACATTTATCTTCAGATATTCAGGTATTCAGATATTGAGATACTGAGATATTCAGATATTCAGATATTTAGATGTTCAGATATTCAGACATTGTGATATTCAGATATAGAGATATTGTGATATTTAGATGTTCAGATATGCAGATATAGAGAAAGAGTGATATTGTGATATTCAGATATTATCATATTCCCGTATTGTCAGTTTCAGGTATTGTGTATGATAGTCAGATATGAACATTTTCTGCTATACAGGGGAGTGGAAACATAGTGATATCGCCTGTACTCCTCAAGCCATGTGAACTTTCTTGTGGTTCTGGTCATGTCGAGTGAGGCTTTTTAAATTTTAATGAAATTGAAGTAATAAATAAAGGAAAAATAGAAGTGGGCTGACCTTGTCACTCTACACGGATCAACGTTTATCAGGCAATGTAATGTTTCCGTTGTCAAGCTGGCTAAGCTTTAAGAATTTTCTTGTGTTCATGCTTTCCGCTCTTTCTGCCGTTCATCCCTCTCAACCTTTTCTACTGTTCATACTTTTCATCCCTGTCAACCTTTACTACTTTTCAGATTTTTCCAACTCTTCTGCATTGCCATAGTGGAGAAAATACTCTTTCTCAGTGACTATCTAACACACTTAAACCAGCTAACTTCTGTGCACAAGTTAGCTGCTCGCATGATATTAAGTGACTTCGTTTCTGATAGTTCTCTTCTCATTGCCAAATTACAGTTACCACCAGTTACACCTTGTTACAAGAAGAAAATTTTTCAGGCTGACCTTATTTCACAAAATCATTACAGGACGGAGTGCGCTTTCACATTTTTCCTTAGTAAGTCCACTTACTACTCGAACATCTCTGCGAACATCTAATCGATGTCTTTGGCAAGTGCCTACATATAAACGTAAAACTACTAGCTCATCGTTCTTACCAAGAACGATAAAGGAATGGAATAAGTTACCGAGGGAGGTCATGGCCGCATTTAACGACCGAGCTTTTAGGCGTGCATTGACGAAACATCTTTTTTCTTGAAGAAGTGTCTCTTTTCTTTAATTAAGCCATATATGTTTTATTGTTATATTTTCCTTTTTTGTTTTTTTTTATGTTATATTTTTCTCTTTGTTCGGTATGATCTAGACAAAGTTTCTTTTAAACTTTCATCATCACCAAGTCAGTTTTAAGATCAAGGACTAAATAAAATTACTACCAATACTAATACTACTTCTCTGAGAAGTCAGAAGAATTGGAGAATTTAAAACTTCTCTGAGAATTCTGTACAGGTGATGTGTTAAGGTAACGTTGAGAAGGTAGGGTAGTCTATTGAAGTTTAGAGTAGGTAAGGTAAGGTAGAGAAGTTAAGAGCAGTTCGAACAATTCAAGATATCGTAAGGTAAGGTAAGGTAATGTAGAGAAGTTAGAGAAGTTCGGGGAATTCAAGATATGTTGAGGTAAGGTAAGGTACTGTAGAGAAGTTAAGATAAGATACGGTGAGACATGCTAAGAGGTAGACTCACGTATGTAACCGTAGGAAAGGTAAGGTATGGAATGCCAAGTTTCTCCACTTATCGAGTTTATTCTAAGAGTTTCAGATATCTTTACATCAGCGTGCCGTGTGCAATGCTCGATATTACGTTCCAAAGACTTATTGTAGCCTCTCGGCGGGGGCGGGGGGAGGTGGATTGTGAGAGTGAGTGGTGAAACAGTATTTCTACTGCTGAAGTGTTTGGATGACCCAGCGCTTTTGCATGTTGCTTTGAGGGGGATAAAATACCTGTGGGCGGCATTGTAGGGTTGGCTTCGCATGCAAGACTTTGTGTTACCTTGTGGCACCTTATCTTAACTTCTTTACCGTAGCTTACGTTACATTACGTTACCTTAGGTTAATTTTTGTTAACTGCTCTACGTTACCCTATATTCCCGTAGATTATCTTATGTTACTTCTGCTTGTTACGCTTTTGTTGTTACCTTACGGAGCCATAACATTTATGTCCGAAGCCCGAGTTAGGGTGGCTTTTTTGTGACTTCTCAGGGAAAGAGTATTTTATTCGCTCTCGATACTAATTCCGAATATGAATTTGATATTTTTATTGCGTAAAAGGTGAGTTCTAATGAAGAGAACCAGAGAGAGATACAGACAGGCAGAGAAAAGAGAAAGCTCATCTGGCAATTTGTGTCTGTGATTCTCTGTCTCGGGTCTATAGTATACATCTGCGTGGAGATCACCTGTGTATGTAAAATCATCGTGACCTGATAGCAGAAGAGTACATGTTGAATACTGCTCATATAACGACCAAAACGTTTTTGGCCGTCTAAAATCGGTGTGCAAGATGTAGTTTTATGAGCTCTATTCACCAAAATAATTAATAAGTTGTTTGGAAAGATTTTAGTTAGAAAAGAGATTAAAGTAAAGTAAAATTACCTTACCTTACCTCACCATATCCTGAATTCACAGAACTTCTCTAACTTCTCTACATTACCTTACCGTACCTCACCGTATCTTGAACTTCGCTGAACTTCTCTACTTTCCCTTCTCCGCAGTTCGTTAGATTATGTTAACTTGCTTCCTGTAATATTTGCGTCGGTAACATTCATGTCGTCGTCCGAAGTTAAAGTTACCTTTTTCTAACTTCTCAGAGAAAGAGTATTTTCTCCGCTCTCTGCATTGCACCACATTTGCGCTTTCCTTATAATACGTTTCATGCTTTTCAGACTGTTTGACTTCTGGTGTCTTTGAAGGCTTTTATGATGTCCATTTTTGAGCCAGCACTTTTAAAAGTATAAACACTGTGATGTAAAACGACACTAATCTTCTATTTAACTATTTCGAACTACAATGAAACATACAGCTTCTCCTCTTCTATGTTTCTACATCAGACAACCTCATGTTCGCATCTTACGAAATCGCTGTTTCCCCACAGGCACTTCATGTATTCTCCCGAAGAAATCGCTGTTTCTCCACATGCACTTCATGCTTTCTCCTGCAGAAATAGCTGTTTTTCCAGAAGAACCTCATGTTCGCACCTGATGAAACCGCTCTTTCTCCACAAAAACTTAATGTATTCTCACCATTCAGAAGAGGTTTATGTTTTCTCCCGATGAAATCGCTTTTTCCCCACAAGCACTTCATGCTTTCTCCATTACTAAACGCAGTTGCTCCAGAAAACCTTCATGTTTTCTCCTTAAGAAAACGCTGTTGCTCCACAAACACCTCACGTTTTCTCCCGCAGAAATCGCTTTTTATCCGCAAACACCGCACGCTTTCTCCTGCACTAAACGCACTTTCTCCATAAGAACTTCATGTTTCCTTCTCAAGAAACCGCTGTTTCTCCACAAGAACTTCATCTTTTCTTCTGCGGAAGTGGCTGTTTCTCCCCAAGAACTTCGCCTTTGCTCCTCAAGAAATGGCGGTTTCTCGACAAGAACTTAGCGTCTTGTCCTGAAGAAATCGCTACGTCTCCAGAAGAACTTCGTGTTTCCTTCCCAAGAAATCGATGTTTCTCTACCAGAACTTGATCCTGAACAAAACGCGGTTTCTCCACAAGAACTGCATGTTTTGTCCTGAAGAAATCGCTGCTTGTCGACAAGCACTTTGTGTTCGTCCTCAAGAAATCGCTGTGTCTCCAGAAAAACCTCACGTCCGCTCCTGCCGAAACCGCTGTTTCTCCACAAGAACTTCATGTTTTCTCCTGAAGAAATCGCCGTTTCTGCGCAAGAACTCCATGTTTTCTCCTGCAGAGATCGCTCTTTCCCCAGAAGACTTCATGCTTTCTCCCGTGCTTTGTGCAGTGCTGCAGAATGGTACAGGAATTTCCACGGAACTGTGGAAGTTGAAGCCACTGTGTTTCTCCACAAAAACCTCATATGTCCTTCCGAGGAAATCGCGGTTTCTCCACAAGAACTCCATGTTTTCTCCTGAAGAAATCGCTGTTTTACTAGAAGAAACTCATGTTCGCTCCAGGCGAAATCGCTGTTTCTGCATGAGAACTTGACGCATTCCCCCGAAGAAATCGGTGTTTATCCACAGGCATTCCCTCCTTTCTCCTGAACTATACTAAAACCAGATTCTCCTGCCATTTTCTCACCGCATATTTCACAGTTTTGAAAATTCCACTCAGTGTATACAACCGATATCAAGCGATACGCACACGAAACTCTGAGCTCTACTGGTCGCTTCGAAAAAAAGTTTCAGATGCTGCTACGGTAACAGATAGATCAGTTTTCGATTCAAGGCAATCATTTTTCTAGAGCAAAGAGAACTGAGATAAGTACTAGAAGACTTGTTCTATCAAACTGTATAAAGCAGAGTTGGGGATCTTTAAGAAATCGAGAGAAATAAATCTTTTACTCTTTTTGCACCAATTCACCGTATTGTGCCGAATAAAAAGGACGTACAAAGTTAAGTTCTAAAATCAGTATTTCGAATAACTTTGACAGAAAAGCCAATCTCCATTGGTCTGATAGTTTTCATATAGGTACGTGTTCATGAGCTCTACATTAGCTGATGAAAGTTTTATTTCGTATATCAGTCCTATAGCTTAAGATTTGCACTACAGATCTACAAACCCTACAGAGTTCCTCAGGGAAAATCAATAAAAACCATCAGAATCGATTTACCCATTTTTGCCAATTTTCAAACGTAGTTTTTCTCCAACGTTAGCTGGAAATCGCTCAAAGATTTTCAGCAGAAACTACCACCGTCTAGTACCAGAATCTGTATTCAAAACTTTGGAATTCTATCCCGTGACCTGGACTCACGTAATTCGAAAAGTGCACTATTTAGTCTTGTAAGCTGTGAAAACAATTTTTCATTCAGACTTTCTTACAACAAACATCCTGTATCCATAATCTAGACATCATTTCCAATCGATTGACATATAATGCATTCGGAAAAAAGTAGAAAGTCGATGA